CTCTACAGGTAGCCTTAATAAGTGTCAGGGTGTCTATTGCTATAGGGAATCTGTTCCCTGTAGAAAGATGAAAAGTTTTGACAATGTATCCCATTAGGGTTAAGAAAACACAGGGTTTACATCCCTGAAAATCCCACTGGATATACTTTGAGGTTTTCTTCATGCTGCGTAGATATATTTACCAAGACACCTTTGTTTTTTAATAGCAAAGCTATTAGAGAAAAGGGAATATGCAGAAAAAAAAGAGCAGGGGATTGGCTGCAACAAAGCATTTGTCTGTACTAAACAGATTTATTTCTTAAAAGCAAAAATCTTCTTATACCAAAACAGGATTTTTCTGGCTGCGTTCAGAAAGTACAACTTGCCCATACTGTAACCTACTAGATAAGCTCATACTAGGCCCATTTCCAGCACACTCAAGGCAGCACATCCCAGTGCAGCACATAGCAGTGGTGCACGTAACCATCTGCAGTGCATTGCCCTGACACTTCCACATCTTGCCAGCACTGACAGCCCTGTCACAGATCCCTTCAGAGTGGAATGTTATCTGTGCCCCACCAAGCCAGCGCAGCTATCGCAGAGATTAAACTCAGAAACTCTCAGGGCCTATCTTATACTCAGCAATGTCTGTACAACAAATTTTAAACTATCATCAATTATATATCTACATATAATATAGGTATGTGTTGTAACATCAGCTATGCACTGAGGCATAATGATGTGCCAGTCAAGAATAGAGTCTTAGGTCCTGCTTTAAAGAAAGTCCTATTTCACTCTCCCTGAAATCAGTATAGGCAACAGCAGACTTCAACAACCTCTCCATCAAATCTTAAAGGTTACTGGCAAAAAGCTTAAAATGCTCATTTGAGGTGTGGTTTGATCTCATATTCATGATCTGGACTGAAATATTTTATCTGGACACTGAGATCACAAACAGAAGAAAGAACAAATTCTCAAGGGGTGCTCTCCTGTGCCCTGCCCCTCCTCCAAGGTGAGCTTAGCTAAACCTGAGCTGCACATTGCAGATATTTCCCCCCTTGAGCACTTCTTCACCAGGGACTACAGCAGAGAGAGAAGGGTGATCAGAAAACACAAGAACTAAAGAAATAGTTATGTATAACAAAAGCTTAGAATGCTGAATTACAGTGAGTTCAGATCTTCCTCACCTGATTTATTTTTTTTTGAGTTCCCCAGCAGCAGGATCAGTCCATAAAACAGAGAATGTCCTTTAAGGACCATGCAACAGTTTCTGTATGAAAATTGAAAAATAAATTAGGCAAAGGCATTTGACCAGGGACACAAATTATAGTAAAGGTACACATTCAGAGTTTGTCTAATTCAACTAAAATCAGCAGCCTTTAAAATAATTTGGCCCATATTATTACAATACAAAAAATATATAGTGTATTTATAGCCTTGGTCTCTCCAGCTGTGTTGGTTTAGGTTTTATTACATCAGTAATAACAATTTATGTGATACTCTGAATAATGTGCTATTAAAAATTCAGTACAGTGTATACTGTTACCCATGGGATTTAAACTGTGGGAGCTATGTGTATTATTCTCTACTTTGCTATTTCTGTAGGAGTGAAGATTACTATAAAAATGGTTAGGTTATATACACCATGTGAATTCCTGCTCTGCCTGAATCCAGGTGAAGAGAAGAAATAGTTCAGTCCAGACTGCCTTGGGGTAAGTGTCCCAAGAGTCTTAGTCTTGCAATCTAAGGTTACACTGATCACACATTCAAGCATGAACAATAGTATCAATGTGCTTTTTGATGTCTTTAAGGAATTCCAATAGATTTGTGAGGCATAACCTCCCTTAACAGAATCCATTTGATTCAGCTTTCATTTGAGTATCAGCTTTTTCTGTTTGTCTATTGATTTTATTTTTTATAGCAGCTCATCTAATTTTCCTGGAGTGAAAGTCACATTGACAGTTTTGTAGTTCCCATGATCACCTTTGGAGGACTCTCTTGAAAGACCAGTGGATCATTGGCACATTTCCTATGTTCTGTTTTGCTGACATTAGGATCAGATTCAGCACAAAACAACCCACTGGCATTAGCACTTGAGGAGATGAACATTTTAATCCCTTGGTGGAAATACTGCACAGCTCCAGGAATCAGTTATTCTTTAACTTACAGTTTGTCTTGGAGTCTTTCCTACTGACTATTTTAAGGACACTCAGCTCACCTAATGTTTGCTTGTTTAGCAAGGCAAATAATTCTTTTAGGTGTGGAGTTAGCCACCTCAAATGCTTCTTGAGCTAAATGCTTTCATCCTCTACAGCTTTACTTTCTTGCAGGGCTCCTCTGGTAATGGAATTTGAAAACGTTTATGTTATTACTCCCACATTCTTGGCAAAACCTTAAAATCTTTTTGGTCAGATCTGTTGTGGTTCTCTATTTAATATGTATGCTCCTGACTTACATATGAATTCCATTTTGGAGGATGTCTGCATTTTCTTCCCTCAGATGACACAGTTGTTGATATTTATGGGTGGCACTACAAGTATCCTTACCATTATGACTCTAGGAGCAGGGCCCAGGTGAGGAAGAGCAGTAGAAAACAGTCATCACAGCTCATTTTCTTTCCATTGTTCAACCAGGTGGTCCATCGCATGTGACTGAAAGACAATAAAACAGAGGATTAATCGAATGGGTTAGTAATAAAAGTTAAAACATTTATGGTGTTTATATTTACATTTTACTTGTTGTTCTTGTAACGTTACATACATATTTGTTAGATTTGGAAATATCTTTACAATCTCTGAATACAATAAAAGGAGAAACTGAATTCAAGTGTTCTGTGCTGCCCTCTTTGCTCTTTGAAAAGTGTAGCAGTGACTACACTTTTGCCAACTGTCAAAAGCCTGAAGGGTTTACCAAGGGATCATCCCCTGTGTACTCTGTTCTTCAATACTTTCATAGAGCATCTGCTGGATTTCTTGTTATGGAGATAAGGAGGACCTTTGGTTTAACTTAGCATCACAGTTCTTATTATGGAGTTAAATTGTATGGTTTCTATAAAGAAAATCTGAAGAAGGCAAACGTGAAATATATTTATTTGTGCCACTTCTCCACTCTGTAAAGACAGAAAATTGTTATAAGGCAGGCAACATGATCTGGACAAATGAGTGGGAATTTCTGTTTCTAACATGTTTTTGGCCTACTGTTAGTTGAAAAATAGCATTAATGTCTTCACACCTGTTATGAGACTAAACTCAAAGGTATCTACATACCACTTTCTAAGCAAGGCTTGCATCTGCACAAGAGAAAGAACTGTTATGGAGAAACAACTAAAAATTGCTTTCACAAATGTATTTATTTCTCATTTTCCTGGAAGAGATGAAAAAGTAGTTCATCTCCTTCCTGCTGTAATGAAAGGCCTCCCTAGCATCCTCCCTCAGTTCTACTGTATACATAATTCTGAAAGACTTCTCTCACAGACATAATAAACATATATTTTAGCATGCTGTGATAATTAATGCTCTGAATAATATCTTTGTTTCCCAGTGGTGTAGGGTAAAGGTTTTCAAGCTGCCATACACAGGCTATTTTCAGGGCCTTCCCAGAGGCAGCTCCCAGCTGTCTGTGCAGCAGGACCTGCAGCACTCCTGTAACAGTGTCCCTGCTGCTGCACAGGTGCTCACACAGCACCTGCACAGATGCAGTCATCTCATAACTCATCAGCTACGTGGTGTTCCACAGGTCAGTGTTTTCTGAATCAGCTAAATGCACAGTGGTGTTTGGACGCAGAGGTGGAGAGGTGAGTAAAAGCACATCAAAAAGAAATTAAAGATTAAAATTGGGTGGTGGACACAAACTGGGTGGTTAAGGAATGAAACTGGTGGTGGTAAGGTGACTACCACTGCAGGGAACAGGCATCAGGTCCTAACTTGAGGCAAGGAAGGGCACTGATTTGGTAACAGAAGTGGCCCATTTGCCTAGTCCTGTTTGGCTCTGTCCTGTTCAGGACAGGTGCAGACCAAAGTACTGAACATCTACAACACATGCCAAAATAATCTATCAGAACTGGGCTAAGGTTTTGGTGTCAAGTCAAATGACAGAAAATACTTGTCAATCAACCAGATACTGTCAAGTCAGTATCATATCTGATAAAACCATTTGAGATGATTAAGGGATAAAAGTGTAATATTTTTCTCTAGGAGTGCTTATTCTTTGAGATATTTGGCAACTTCAGGGCTTAAGACCATGGAAAATAATATTATAATGCTTCATACTGCAGCACCTATGCACTTTTAAGCTAAGCATATTGGAGATACATAGTCACTCCGTGCCTCACTTGTCTGTGCTGCGTTATAGGAAGCCACTGGACCGGAGCAGATTTCATTAAATGTTCCTAATTTATTCTGCCTCGTTGCTCTTTTGTAAACAGGACAGTTCACTACAGAGCAAGGCATTTAGTCCAAAAAGAGTATTGTGATTGAATATGCAAATGCAACATACTACACCAAGGTAAGAATTCTTGTTAGTCACTCTCAGAGGTGACAAGATAGGAGCTTTTTTTGTTCAGGGTACAGCTCAGCATTCTCACAAGCATTTGCTCTCTTTTGCAACCTCCCCTTGAAAACCTTTTGGACAGTCAATAGTAGGATGGTTTAAACCTCAATCTAGGTCAGAGAGAAATTTTCAGCTATATTTTAGTTCCTTACTTTGTAGTTTATCTTTTTGTCTTTTTGATCAAGGTGATAGAAACAACATTTTATTCATTATTAACGGTGGAAAAAAATCATAGCAGGAAAGGTAATGATTAATCCATTTTGTAAGAAAAAAAAATGGAGTTCTAATTGTGAACTTACTAGCATTATCTAACCAGTATAAATAGAAGTGCACTTAGAGGAGGCACAGACTGGCAAACCCATGATGAATTGTTAGGGCATGTTGAGTTGGTTCTGTCCATGCCTGCGGTCAGATGATTTCACTGGCTGTACAAGATGAAATCTCATATTTCAATGTTTAAGTAAAAGTGTCAAAGTTCAGCTGGAGCAGGGACGAATACAGAACAAATTTTGTGTGTGTTTGTAACTAGGGCACCAGAGGAATAGAGGAAGCCAAAATGAGCCGGAAAAGCAAAAGGAGTTTAAAGGAGAAATTTTCCTTGAAGAACAGCTTGATTAAAGAAGCCCTCTCAGAGTTCCTGGGAACTTTTATACTGATAGTAAGTGTCAGCTGCTTTCCTCTCTTCCTACTAATCTAATGTTGGACAGTGCTTGTAAGGGGACATGTTGGCTTTTTCTTGTACTGTACCAGCAGCCTGGCAGTGTGTACAGCCCTGAATGAATTGCTCCTGCTGACGGTAAGTTTGTAATTCCTTTCTTCACCCGATGTAATTATCACTGGCTATAAAAATCAGATAGCTTTATGTATTACAATTGTCTGATCAGCATTAGATTTCATATAAGAGCAGAATTTCAGTGAACTAACACATTCTGAAAAATCCATATATGCAGAATGAATGGTGTTAATACTCTTCTGTGTTTTAAAAACTCAGCAGTTTGTTCTGCTTTCACTTCTGTGCACAACTTCCATTTGCTTTAACAAGTATACTGTATTGCACATTAAGAAAATTTTAGCTGAGTTGTTTTCCTGGAAAATATAGAAATTTAGCTGTGTGATTTGTAGAGAATTTATTGGGAGCTGCATTGCCAAACCTTTGGAGATTGTGTAAGTTAACTATTTCTTGTTTGTTTGTTTGTTTTCAACTGTACTACATAAATTATACAGTTGCTTTGTCCTGTAGTATTACTACAATTTAGGTGAATGCCAAAACTCCCCATTTTCATGACCCCTTCATTTGCTGTTTGGTGGGTTTTTTTACTTAACTTCTTGCTCAGGTTTTTTTTGGTGTGCATTTTGCTCTGGGACACAGAGCTCTGCCCTGTGATTCACCGGGGTTGAGAGCAGGATCAGCAGCAGAGCTAGAAGCCAAGCAGCTAGATTATTTATGCCAAAGTCTTTCTTCCTCCTTTTAGTCTGAACAAGGCACTCTTGCGTATTGCTAAATATTTCATCATAGTAAAAAGGACAGAAAAAATAAGAAGTAGGCATAGTACTGACATAGTATGTTTTATAACTATATTAGCTAAATTTCAAGTAAGTCATCTAAAAAATTCCAGTAGCTCATAAAATATATGAAAATAATGGTCTTTACTACACTCCAGCCAACTGAAGTGCACAGGCACTAAAATAGCATTACTCTCAAATTTAATACCATCCCTAAGATATTATTACAGTAAGGAGCACATTTAGAAACAAGGAACACAGAGCACTTTACAAACATTAATGAATTAAGTGTCACAACACCCTGGTAAGGAGGGGAAATGTTATTATCTTCATTTTGTTTATTAGCAAACCTGATTACAGCAGCCTGCACAGGAAGCCTGTGGCAGAACTCTGCATATAACCCACATCACCTGACTTCCAGTACTCTGTCCTCGCCACAAGATCATCTTCCTCTTTCCATTAATGCAATGAAGCAAGTGAAGAAAATGTATTAAAGTGCAGATTAGACTGCAAATGCTATTATTTACTGTCCTGCTGCACAAGACTAGAAGGAAGTACAAACCCAGATCCCATTTTCTAGTATAGTCACTGTATGAATGTAGTAGGAAATGAAGCTACTAAATTTTTGTTGGCAATCTGAGTTTCTCCTTTCTATCTTCCCCTTTCCAGTTCCAACCTTGGTTTAAAGCAGGGAAGAGCCTCACATGGATTAAGCTGCAGCTTTCTCAGTGCTTGGATTCCTCAATCTGTGTTCAGACTGCACCAGTTAGTGGCAGTACAAAGCATTTACTGTGAAAAAAAATTACTTTTCTGCTGTTATTTATTGCTATTGCTTTTAAGCTCTGTCAGCTAGTACGTACTGTCCCTTAAAGACAGATAAATATTAAATCTTAATTTAAATTGGAGCTAATGAAAGGGGCACCCTGGTAAGTCAGAGGACAGAAATCCTTGAAAAACAGACACTATGTATGCAAAAGAAGTGATAGCGACAGCATAGTGGAAGAAACCTCTGTCTTAATCCTGTTAGGAAGTGGAAGTGAGATGAGAGTTCAGATTCAGGTCTTTGCTGAAAGCCATTTCGTGTCACTGTGATGGGTTTTACAGCCTGTGGGGAACACCTGTGCCAGGGATCAAGGCTGGGACAGCCTTTCTATTACCCACAGGCTCTGTCTGGAAGTCAATGCTAACTGACCGTACCTAAATCTGCGACCAAGCTAGCACTGCTGGGAGTTAGCTGGGTGAAACTCTGTCCCTCCAAATCACCTATTTCTGTTTTCTGGAGAATAACATCACAGGACACATACTAATATGAGCTTAAACTAGCATTTTTGGTAAGTCTCAGTTTTGCAACATTATATTCCAAACAGAAAAACGTACAAACTAAGATTAATTTCAGGACCTCTAGAAAGTGAAATCACTCATCAGGCAAAACCCAAGCAAACCTTCACCTCGGGGTTCAAAGGGCATGAGCTGCAATGTTGTACAGCTTTGAGACAACAAGCCTTGAGAAAGTCACTGGACACACAGTTTGGATAACCTCTGTTGGTCATCCCTACTTAACATGCTGCAGTTTGCCTAGCAGCATGGTCTCAGAGCACGTAGACAGAATTCTTTCCAGGTGAAAATAAAGTAGGTGGTGAGCTCCAGAATCACAGCAAATGTGCTGACCATTAATGGACACTCAGTCCAGTGGATCAGACTGGAGATGCTCCTAATAAATAATTCCCTCCTGAGAGGTCCATGGTCATGTTCTCAGGTGCTTGCACTGCACAACTTGATAAAACAGATAATGAGACATAGCCCATGTGAGCCCCCCTCTCTCCTTATCGAAGCACATGGTTTCAACCTCAGAGTGAGAAACACTAAACTCTAGGAACCTGGAAGTGTCCTGAGGTGGGAGAACACCCACCCAATTGTACCATGGTGGCTGAGAGCCAGTGCACACACACTATTTCCAGCCTCAGCCTGCTGTAGCTGGGACAGCCCCTGATGCCTCCCTTGAGGAAGAGCTCTCTAGAGAGCTTTCCATTCTGCAGCATCTCCTGGTTCACTACATTTCCTCTTGGGGCTCCTGTGAGTTACTCTGTGGGACATCTGTGTGCCAGTACAAAAGAGTCAAGAAGCCATGCTGCATCAGATAGATGGTTTGTGTGGCTCTTCAGTGAGTCTGGAACTCACCTATCCAACTGCCTCTCTGCTTTTAATCATGCTTCTCTCCATATTTCCCTGTTGGAACTTGTCTGCATTGCTCTCAAACAAAATGGGATTTACTCTGACTTATGCCATTAAGTATATCTGAATTGAAACAGTTCCAAAAAGAGATGCCAAATGGGCCATGTGGCTTCCTTTAACAGCTACTGCTCACCTAACATAGTTTGTATTCCATTTTCACTCTCAAGAGCATCTTACTGCACAGAGTTTCCCAGAAAGGAGCTGCACAGGAGCCAGAATCTCCAGAGTCCAGAGTAGCATACACTTCTTTGCTGAGACACAACACAACACAGACTTCCATTTAGCATATAAAGACAAGTGGGGAGTATATAAATTCCTATCCCATTATCCTATTCCTAAACCTGGTCTCCAGCTGGAGGTGGGGAGCTCTTGCAACTCCCCCTGCAGCAAATGTTTGTGTGCATAGAGGATGCAGGGCACAAGCATGAGCTCAATACATGACACCCCATGCTGTAAGTAGTCCAGCTAATGAGAAGGAAAGGTATTTATCTTTTGCTTATCAAACTCTTTGTCTTGTTTTCATATTCTGACCACTTCATTATTTAAGTTATCACTTTGGTGTTGCTGAAGAGTTGAGTCTCGCCTGAAAAAATCTTTAAGATTGATATTCCATGGATTTGCTCAGTCCAGAAGATTAAAATTTAAACAACTTTTCTGTATCTTTCTTTTTGTGGCTCCACATTCCAGTACATGTTAATTACAATACTGTGTGAGAACATGTACCCTTATTCTAAGAAAGCATTAGAATTCTCATTACATGATGTTATTACATCACAGAAAATGTAGGTTTTGATCCTTTGCTCCTTAAATAAGTGTTTAACATTTTACACAAAATCACTACTTAGAAATTTCAAACAAAGATAAATTTCATGTTCTGAATTTTTGCAAAAGGGAGACTTTTTTTTAATAGAATGAAATTACTTAACAGCAAGTTTTGTTTAAGGTATAAAATTAAATAGCAATAACTTCTAACCGCTTCTTTGTTTGCCATCAACAAAGAATTTCCTGGAGTACAGAATCTTCTCTAATTAGCTCTTAGACAGTGACCTTGAGTTTGTGAAAGCTAGATTAAAAAAGATTATTAAAATTTAGTTATAATTGGTGTTTTGATATGTCACTCAATAGCTTTTTTAATGTTACCTAATGCTACAAAAACCACAGGCCTTAGCAATGTTTGCACTTTGAAAAGCAGCTCTTGTGTCAGAGATCATTACATTAAGGTCTCTAGCAGCAATACTATAGTACAACCAATAAATAATAGATGCCACTCATGTAGCTAATGTCATAGCTGCATATATTTTGATAGCATGAAATTTTGCTAATGATGCTGCTGAAGATGTGCAAATTCTTCCTCTTTTAGCAACTGTATGAAATCAGCATTGCAAACAGAAGACACAGTGAGAACAAAGTTGTGCTGAGGTTAAGGAGATGCTCTTTCATATTGGTATTGTTTCTATAATTTCACTACTATCAAAATTAATTAATTTGTTTCTAGACAACACTTCTGTTTCTCTGAAGTCATTTTTAATTCAGCTGAATAGTTAGCAGTGTGAAAGAACTGAAAGGCAGGTTACCTTCACCCCAAAGTATTCATTACAGCAAATAATTCTGTATATGACATTTCAAACTTTCAGGTGACTCAGATGTTGCGTTGCATGAAAGTTCTAAATGAAAATTCATTTCTGCAACATCAGCCCCAACATGTAACTCAGGTGTCATTGTTTACCCGAGAGGTTCCATTAAGCTGAACTCAATATTCCAAGACCTCTTTCTGTAGATATACTTTTTTCCACAAGGTTTGCATGTACAGGACTGAGGTGTAGGCACTCTCCCTGAGCCCTACAGAACACTTGCATCTTTCCAACATTCAACTGTGAGTGCAAAACTTGAATTTATATTTTACAGACACCAATTTACAGGGTG